GGGATCGGGGGTGTTTTCAGAGATGAAAATGGGGTCATCTCCGCTATATTCTCAGGCCCAATTGGAGTGGGTGACGACTCCCTTAGAGCTGAGATATGTGCAGTTATGGAAGGAGCCCGAAAAGCCAAGGAATTGAACACCAAGAAACTTATAATTGAAGGGGATTCAGAGGTGATGATAGGGTGGCTGACTAAAGATCAAAATGATTTATGGAATTATAATAATGAGAAGAGGAAATTCAAATGGCTGGTGCGGGAGATGGAAGTTAAGACATGTTGGATTAAAAGATAAGCTAATTCCCTAGCTGACGGTTTAGCAAAACAAGGGGCAGAAAGGGATTCTTTGTTTTGGGCTAAGCTGTAACGTTAGTGTATTTGTATCTTTGTGTTTTCTTTTTTCATTTCTTGAAGTTCTTTGTGACTCTTGGAAGATAAACACATTTATCTTCCACTTGTAAATTTTCTTCTGATGAATTAATGAAAGTGTTATTGATCAAAAAAAAAAAGAGTAATCATGAATTTATGATTATGAAACAAAGTAAGCACAAGGGTTGGATCCACTTCACAAATACAACCAAAAGAACTAGTGCATAACTGACTCAACACAAGGACCCTAACTGTAAGGTAAGGGAAAATGGGATCCAGACTGTGATTTCCTCTCATCTCGTTGGTATGAGCTAAGGACTAATAAGATTCCTGATAGAGGCTGAGCCTGACTCTGGGTTCAAGGAGCAGGAGTTAATTAAGTTCTCCTTTCGTCCGTAATATAAAACCCTGAAAAAAACAAGGCAGGTTTCCTAAGTCATAGAACAACTTCTGCAAAGCTCTAGAACTACAAACTATTTTCTTCCCATGTTAATGGGATATTCACCCATTACTCAGGAGCGGGAGGGTAATGGTTCTCAAATATCAAACATCAAAACCCTATGTCTCATCCAAACTAAAACCAAATTTGATTCACTGCCGAAAACCCTACCAAACAACCTGAACCAACTCCCGAAAACCCTATCAATAAAGACTTTGTAGATTGAAAATAAACAAATAAGAAAAAGGATATTCAAGGAAATCCACATCCTGGATAATGGAACTCCATATCCACATTCTATCACCAAAATCCACAATTATCTGCACTCCCGCCAAAACCCCAACCAAGGGCCAGACGATGCATCAGATATCAGTTGACCGAACCAATTTGAGGAAGGCCAAAATATTCGTAAGAAAAAGAAAGAGAAAGGGGGAAAGAAATATATCAGGCGGGTTGGCACCTTTTTCTTCATCTCTCCTTTTCTCGCCAAGAGAGCAGCAGATAAGAGCCTGGGCAACCGATCAAACTCAGCTGCTTCAACGTGGGGAGGCCACACCTGGGGATTCTTGTAGCAGAGGAAGACATGGCGGTCGTAGATCTGAACAGTTCCCACCAGAGGGCTCTGACGGAATTCAGAGCGCAGGAAGCCAAACTCAACATCACTGTTGTTTCCGCTTCCTCCATCGCCAGCAAGCAAACCATCGTTCTGAAAGCTCCCGGAGGCGCTGCCTATCTGGGAGTTGGGGTCAATAAGTAATCCATCTTCTGAGACTGCTATGGGGGAAGAAGAGGGATTAATGAAGGAGAGGGGATCATCTCTGCTACTTGCCATCGAAGTAAAATAAGCTGGGGTGGTTGGAGGCAGTGAGGGAACGAAAAATCCTCAACAAGAATTTCTGGGCTTTTTGTTTTTCACATCTACTATTCTACTCTACTTGATTGAGATAGGGGCGAAGGGGCTAAGAGCAGACGCTGTTCTGGAGGTGGAGCCGTGGAGGATATGCAATTTTTTCACTCTCGAATCTCGATTCCCTGCTTTAATTTCTGTTTTCTACTGTTTTGATTCTGTTTTTTTAATGGAGATGTTTTTCTTAAAAAAAAAAAGAGGAGTGAATGCGGTGACTGGCGTAGTTCCCTCGCTCCACTGATGTGGGGATTGAATTGGGATTTGGTTCATTTCAGTTTCAGGCGTGATTATTATGACACTTGTTATCCAAGGGTTCGTATAAAAAAGAATGCTTTGACTTAAAAATAAGAAAATTACTTTAACTGCCCCTAAGGGTTTTGATAAATACTTATTTTTTTTTGAGAATTTCTGACAAATACTTAAAATGCCCCCTGATTTAAGGAATTAATTAAATATCTTGTAATTTCTTCTAACATCACAAACACTTCCCCTCTATTCCGTTACATTCGGTTCTTAGTTATTGTAATGTCATGATATTTCAGAAATCCACTTTTTGCCTTCTGGAGTTGAAAACCTCCATAACCGGCACAGACAGACCCGCCCCGAATTCGGCTTCAGTCAGTGCAACCTGGTGCCTACACCGTTCAAACAACCCCTTGCAACTTTATATTGAGAATATCTTCCCATGAAATAAATTAAATAAATATAGAGATATTTTCAATGCAAGGCTGTAAAGACTGTTCGAAAGGGCTTTATACTAGCTGAAGCCCAACTCATCCGGCCATTATGGTCTAGAAAGAATTGGGGGTAGCACGTCCCCAAAAATCGCTAACATGAATATAAACCAATGTCCAAGACAGATCCAGGATGTTGAGATTATAAAAGTCTAAAGGTAATGCACTTCTCAAATTCCACAAACAAAAGATGCAAACTTTAAATCACCTTCAATGATGATAGAATGGTCTCTGAAATTCAAAATCAAATTATGAGCTTCCCAAGCTTTAACCATGTTTATTATTGAGTGCCCTAAATAGGAGGCTTTAATATCCATAACTCTTCAAAGGTAATTCCTAACAATAGCTGCCATTGAACAATTCTCGTTATTAATACAGGAAGCATCACAATTTTCTCTTTCTGGTGGTTTGGTTCTACTTATTGAGCATATGCTTCATATAATTAATGGGCATGACAATTGGTGTTCATCAATTTGAATCTTGAATGAAATGTTTACTGCTATGTAGCAATTAGCAAAGCAAGTATCCTCAATTACTCTTTGGTGTGAATGGCAAAACATCCGGTCAGCATAAACATCCACGCCACCACTTAATGCAAACCAGTGTTTTATATATATTCAAAAAAGTGTATGTATACGTGTATTATTTTATGTCTAATTTATATTTATATGTTTTAATTTTATTTATAAAAATATTAAAAATTGGAATTTGTGGCCAAAATTTGGGATTTACAATGTATAGACATCCCATTTTTGTGCTCTTTAGTCTTGCATTTTGAGCTTCAAGCATACTTCAATTAATCTTTCAATCGACTCGGGGGTATTTTTAAAATTTTACAAAAGTTGGGGCCACAAGGATCTAAGACCATAAGTACGTAGACCCTAGAAACCTAAACCCAATGACACCAAGGTCACCCAAATCTGATACCGTTTACCTCTTCATCCTAAGATTCGAAGCCGAAACCAATTCTAATCGTCCGATCGGAGTCATTTTGATCCTAAACCTCATTTTACATCAAATCCAAAATCCAATACCATAGGTATGTAGAGCCCTAAAATCCAAATCCAATGACACCAAGATCACTTGAGTCTGACACCGTTTACCCCATCATCCTAAGACCCGAAGCTAGAACCAATTTCGATCGTCTGATCAGAGCCATTTTGATCATAAATCTCATTTCATGTCAAATCAGAAATCCAAAACCATAGGTACATATAGCCTAAAAATCCAAATCCGACGACACTAAGACCACTTGAGTCCGACATCGTTTATCCTATCATCCTAAGACTCAAAGTGGGAACTGATTCCAATCATCCTCGGAGTCATTTTGATCATAAAACTCATTTCACATCAAATCAGAAATCCAAAATGACAAGTATGTAGAGCCCAAAAATCCAAATCCGATGACACTAAGATCACCCAAATCTGACATCGTTTACCCCCTCATCTCAAGACCCAAAGCCGGAACAGATTTTGATTGTTTGATCGGGATCATTTTCGATCTTGAGCCCAATTCCTAATGAAATCTAAAATCCAACTTTTTAGATGGATGGAACTCGAAATTCCAAGTCCAATGGTACCAAGATCGTCCAATTCCAACACTATTAGCCCCTCCATCTTGTGACCCGAATTTAGATTCGATTTAAACCCTCCGTTTGGAATCTCCTTCACCACAACTTCGAACCTAGGGCATCCCACTATCAAAACTTCCTCTCAGCCTCTAGAAGCATCTTAAAAATTCAAGATTTGACCAGTTAATAGCCTCTAATCAATCAAACCAATCACCTAAACTTGGAATGTCCAATTTAGGTAAATTGGTGAAATCTTTCACTCTGTCTTGGTTGATTGTGAGGATCTCTCCCAAAGCTGTCTTGATAGCTCATTCTCTCAATCAATCTCCCTCCAAAAAACCCTTTAAACTTTAGCCATTGATTTCTCTTGCCTCCCATTTCAGCCCTCTATTCCCCTTTCAAAAAATCTATAAATACCACATCTTTCTCACATTCTAGACAGACAATCTAACCTAGACACAATCTAACATAGATACAATCTAGCTTAGGGAGAGATCTCTACCCCCATTAGCCTAGAGAATACCCCCTCCATGTCCCAAGCAGTCCCAAGTTTCCCTAACCCATGTCCTACACTCTTTCTCCACCATCTCTCACCTCCCAAGATTCTTCTCATATCAGTATTACAGCCCGAGAATCCTCCAAGTCGTGCTTACATCCATGGTATGAAGCGTGAAGCATTCTCGCAAACAAACTACAACAGAACGCATAAGCATACACCAGCAACTCTACATCAATTGGGCTACATAAGCAATGTCTTTGACCTCCTAAATGACTTGGAATTCATCCCATAACTAGAGATTTATCCTCGACGCATAGGGTATTCAACAGTACATACTTAGGGAAGCAACCATGGTTAAAGTTGTTGATTCAAAAATTTAATGTTGCTGAAATCGTTTATGAGGTATGATAGTTTTTTTTTAACCATTCAAACAATTTAGTTTATCTTCTTATTCAAGTTTCATCTCTTTTCTTATTTTCCGATTTCTTTTGAATGGTTGAGTAGAATTAACCCATTAGCATGCATCCGAATCAGATAGATAAAGTGTTGTCTTACTTATTAGTATAATTAACATTTTTTTACTTAGCAATCAGTTAACTTAGTCTTGCTACTTCTCTTCACACTGCTCATTTCATCCCTTTTAATGCTAAGAAAAATTTTGAGATTGACAATGAATGCTCTGCATAAAAAAGAGAAAAACAAATATTGCCACTTGTCTAGAGTCTAGACTAGGTCTCATCCATGGCATAATAGGAATTCTGCATTAAATTTCAATCTTGTTGTTAAGATTTTAAGTGGGACACATGGAAGCTTTGAATTTAAAAGTAGCCCACCATTTCTTTGTTTAGCTATTTGTTGATCTAGTCTCATTGAACCACCTTTTTTTTCCTTTAATTTTTAAGTCTCATGGATTGGTCATCATTTCAAGTCCCTTTCAAGGTAGGAAATATAGCTCTTTTAAATAAGACACTAGGTATGCTTTGCTTGTTCATTTCAATAGAAGGCTTTTTTTAGGTTAGCATCATTTAGACCTGTACAACATTAGCATACTAGGCCCCCTCCTCAAGCTATTGTCTAGTTACGAATTCATTTCTACTTCATTTAATTTCCTCTTATCACCATTTTGATAAACGAAATATGCTTGCCTTCATAAAATTCCCTTTGCTTTGGACTTTGGTCAACCCATGAATCTCATTGTCTGGATAGTTAGGGCATTTTTCATTGTCCATGCATAAACATTGATTTACAATCAAACTTCGAGATTTTTGCATTTGTCAATTTGTATTCAATTTTCACCTATTCTAATTACCCTTCATCAATTCACGCATTCATGAGTCATTTCTTGCCATCTTGCATTTGGGATTTAAAATAGTGCATTCACCTAGTAAACTCACTTTTTTCTATCATAGCATATCTTAGTTGCTAGCATAATTGGTTCATTGAATCATTTTGTCTTTGCTTGTTTTTTTCTTAGCATTTGATTTTGTTTGAATATTTAGAATTGCAACTTTGTGTTCTTCTCCTTGATAAATTGATATACTTAATCTATGCCCAAAATTGTTAAATCTTCCTTGAAACATTGATAAAGTAGAGGCTGGTTTAACCGGGCGCGTGTAGGGTGCCTAACACCTTACCACACTGTACCTTGGTCCCTAGACCCTAAGAATCCCATCCCCATTGGGTAAAGAGTCAACAAGAAAACAAAAATATTGTTTTTATTGAAAATCCTAGGTTTTCCTGAATTCCCAATTCCAAAAATTTAGGTGGCGACTCCAAACTCCATCCATATCCAATCCATCCCCCCTTCGGGTTGGGTAGCCACACAATGCATGTACATCCTCACTCAAGAGGTCAATGATGAAACATGAGGGATCTTAACCAAAGGAGTAGGGATAAGGGACCCAAACGAAATTGATAAGACACAAGAAGAAAACTTGAAATAATTTAGTAGAACAAGAAGGAATTAAATTAGATACTTCCCCTTCTTATAGATGATTGGAAGCTCATCATGAAATTTCTTAACCCTTCTCTCTGTTCACTTTCTCCCACACACAGAAGCTCTAACCAATTAAAGTCCATCTCCTTTGAAGTCCATGTGTCAATACCAACTATAAAACGATTGAAACCGCCCTTTAGAGTTATCCTATTTCTTGAATATCCCTTATGAAAAGGATTCCACCCTTAACTTTCAAAGCATGATGTTAAAAAAAAAGGTTAAATTCCTGAAACCTCCTCTGAAGTTTGGTAAATGCAATCACCTCTCCTGAACTTTCTGATATAGTTGCAACTAGACCCCCTTTGTTGGAATCTTCTAAAAAAAGACATAAAGATGTCTAAAATACCCATACATTTAGTTTTAACCAAAATGTTTATTTTCCAAATTTTCTCTTCGTATGAATCGCTAGCCCAAACCTTTCAATCTCTTTTTTTGAAATTGATTTAT